TAACACAGAAATACTGCTACGCATGTCTTGAAACACTTTTGATTACAGAGAAAAAATTGTAGTCAAAGAAAATATGAAACTGTAGTATGTCTTCTTTTTAGTTTACCTTGTAGACAAGTTTCTTCTAAATCATATTATTACAGCAGTCACAGAATCATTACAAAATAAGATGCAAAGGGATTTAAAACAGTGAACATTTCCATTCAGACTCAGGCCAAGGATAGTTATCCCCCAACCATTATATTTTTTCATTCTGGCAAATGCTCAAAAGTCTTCAAGATGTTGTTAAATGTAACTGAGGTTATAATCTCCCTAATAATCTATTTGGATGCTTCACTATATAACCTTCATAATTTTGTCCTGGGTATATGAGGGGAAGCTGCATTTTAGATAGAACAGCTACATCTGAGGAGTTCCTCTAAAGCACTTTCAGTGCCATTCGCCATGTTTCAGGCATTTAGAGATGATAAACAATAACAAAAAAGTGCCTGCTTATCCAACTCAGTATTAGTGGCTCAGATGTACTTAATGCAGTCCTACACACCTGAAGTCTGAATTTAGCCATTATGAGTAAGATTCATCTATCTGACCTACCATCATTTACATCACGATCATGCTTTCTTAATTAATTTACAAAAAAATCCAGGAGAAAATGTCAAAACCTTAACTGAAGTCCAAATACTGGACATCTACTGTTTTTTTCTTATCTAAAAAATCCGATAGCTGCTCCTAGAATGGAATTAGATTGCTTTAATATGTTTGCAATTGGCAAATCCATGTTGCCTCTTACTTATTTCTTTGCTATTTTCTAGCTTCTTTAAGTAGTTTATATGTTCACTGACTTTTCTGTGAATTAAAAATAATTCCCCACATTCTCCTTCCTTTCCTCTTTTAAAGATAAGTTCAATGTCATTCATGTTTAGTCTTTTGGTACCTGATACCATCCTCCAAGAATTTGGTTGAAAAGCCCAGAGATTTCTCTTTAACTTGCACCCTAGAGATTTTTTTAAAATAAATTCTCTGAATTTATTGACATCTACCTTTTTGAGCCTTTTTTTCCTAGGCAGTAATATAATTTCTTTCCCAATAAATGTCTGTGGTAACTAAAATCTCCCATTACTATCATGTCCAATGTCTTTGGATAAGTATCAAGAACAACCCTGTTCTTTTCTGCTTCCCTGAACACCAACAGAAATTTAAAAGCTTGAACTAGTCTTATTTCTGAGTTCTCAAAGAAATGTATATTTTTGAAATACAAGCCCAAATCTCTCTTCTTCCCTTCTATATGACTGACTGATTAGCGTAATATATATGATAAATTCCTTACAATGTCAATTTTTCTGTAATATCCAATTAATTGTTGTCTAGTCCTCATTAATTCTTCAGTTAATTCTTCTCTGTTCCTCTTTATTCTACCATCAGCATACAAACAGCTAAGATACCTGGCAAACTGATCCAAGACTCTCTGTCAAGTCACTTTTCTAATCTTTTAAATAATCCTATCTTTCCCAGGGATGAAACCTATGTCCAAGTTGCATTATTTAAGATCATGATTTTTTTTTCTTGCCAAATGGTTGTTATTTTAAAACTCTCTTCTCTCAGAAGAGAGAATAGTTATATTTAGGGTGTATCTGACTGATGCTTGTGAGAGGAGAGTCTAACAATATCTTGAATCTTCAAGCTCTTTATTCATTGCCACAGAGCCTGATAAGCACTTTTTATTTGCTTGGGGTAATTTTTGGTATTACCACTAGTATATACTAAAGATTGGTGGAATCCTTTGCAACTTGGCAAAATTTGACTCTTGTGAAGCAACAAATCAGTCATAATTTAAGTGCCAAGTGGCACAGATGTTTCCACATTAGCTTGAGTAGAAGATCACTAGCCAGCAACATTTTTCATTTCCTCTATTACCAAGAGGTTCTGCATTCCTTGGGCCAGTGCTTGGGTTTTGGTCTGTTATTGTTGAGATTGGTTCTTACATATTTCCTGGTCAGCACTCTTTCTTTTCACTTCAGTGTTATTAAGACATTGAATGCTACATGCCCTCAGAGGACATCAACAGCCAGCTTTCTCTCTGTAGTTTTAAGTTTGTTCCTCCAGTACCTGTACTGCTACCAACTGAAAGCTCTGCTTTAATTTCTTTGTTTCCAAATGCATGCTGTGGATGAAGTCCTCATGACCATACTCAGTAAGTTTTTAATCTCTCCTTTCAGTGCTCTTCTAATTGCTTCTTAAGAGATTTCCCTGGAGATCTAAGGGCAGTCTTTTCACATTTCACCAGTAGGAAAATACAGGCCAAAGATCTGGCAAATTCATTCAAGAATTTCATCACAAGATGTCATCATTGTCTAATTTTAAATACAGTTATTGAATTATGAGCATATTACATATTTCCTCTCAATATTTTTACTGAGAATATTATGTACAAGAAGCTCTTCATGATTGTGTTTGAATTATATATATTTTTATATATTTTTACATACTTTTGTTTTAACTAATAGTTAATTTAAAAACTGAAGTATAATATGAAGTACAGGATTAAACAAATACTAAAATGAAGGATTCCATATGAAGCTACATTTGCTCTTCAGTAGTATCAGAAATTTTGCTATTTGCCAAAAAGTTATTAGACAAGTGAAGTTTTCTGAACACAGTATTAATAATCTAGATGCTTTCAGTTCAACACTAGAAGACTCTGATTTATACACTGAACATTAAAAACATTTTTAAGCTTTAGTGGATAAGCTTTTTATATATGTATTCAAACAAAACTAACAAAACTCATATTTATATATAAACTGATGAATTATTTCAAAATTATATTACATGACACCATACTACTTATTTTTTTATTCGTAAGCATAGGCCAGCTCTTTACCTTTGGCTGTGTTATGCTTAATACAGAGCCAAGAAGGAGAAGAGAGAAGGTGAATGAAAATTTCAGTGGTCAAAGTCAGGTCCACAGTACTACAACACTTTGGCAGATAAAACCTTAAGTAAAACACAGAGGAATGCCAGCATCTGTAAGTAATTAGACAGGGGCTAAGGCAACATTGAAGCACCTGAGACACTTCTTGCCAATGAACTATAATAATAATAATAATGGCCAGTCTTCGCGAGCGAAGATCCGGGGAAGGTCTTTCCACCTTCCAGCCTGCGCATTGGATTTTTTAGGTGAGACACAGTGTGCGCGGAACTGAGCCCACCCTTTAATCCTAAGGTTCATCTGCCGGGGCCAAGCGAGCTTGGACGGTGGCAGCGAGGTCCTCAGGATGTAGGTGGGTTGCCTTTAAGGGCTAACGAGCCCCACCTACCCGGGAGTGGCCCTGACCGGGAATCGAACCCGGGTCTCCGCGGTGATAGCGCGGCGCCTTTACCACTAGACCACTATAGGAGCTAACAAAAGAAGCACACGCGCTAATAAAAGCTGTTTAGCTGCAGAACATTTCAAAGCAACCCCCTAATTTGGGCCAAAGAACTAACAAAAAAACCACTTAGATTGTATTATCAGTAAGAAAAACCTGTATATTGCCTTGTGGTAGTTAATAAGAGGTAATTAACACAAGCTAAAATCTAAAGTCAAGTATTGCTGAGCAGACATTGTATAGTACGGAATATCCCTCTGCAGCTTGGGTCACCTGTCCTGGCTGTGTCCCCTCCCAGGATCTTGCCCACCCCCAGCCTACTGGTGAGGGGGGAATGTTGGAGAAGCAGCCTTAGTGCTGTGCAAGCACTGCTCAACAGTAGCCAAACACTGGGATGTTTTAAAGGTGAACACTTCTCTAGTTACCAAAGCGAAGCACAGAACTGTGAGGGCTGCTATGCAAAAATGAATTCCATCTCAAACAGACCCAATACAACTACCATGATAAAATATAATAACCAGTAAATCCTGAATTACTTATAATATCTTCAGAAATTATTAACTATCTCCTAACCTAGAGTTTGTCTATGAATAATTCTACTTTCCAAAACTGCAATTTCAGAAAGAAAGAACAGACTGCCAGTATGTGTCTAGCACTTTTCATTATATTGCCCTTTATTATTTTTAGGAAAAAATAATCTAAATCTGCTTGTTTTATCCACCATTATATTTGTATCCAAATCAGTTTTCTCTTTTTCCTAGAGTCCCTTTTCACTGTAGGAGTGAAAACTGCTGTGTCAATTCTATTTAATTGATGAGACACAGTTTCATCCTGTATACATATAAAGTTCCACGAAATGGGCAGTTGTTAAAATATATTCTTTTTCAAATTTTAACCGATAAGGTACATAACATCCTGCCCAATACATAAACCCAATGCAATTTTTATCAGGGATGTACCAGTACAGGTGAGTTAACATTGCTCTGCCACAGTACTAAATTATTCAGACATTCAAGTAAGTTTTCTTTCTGTGAGTTAGGGAGAAGACATAGTAAAATGATTTCAAATTCTTATCAGCACAGTTGCACAGGTTTATGCTGACAGACCAACAGGCTAGGCATGACTTAGAGTTCTTAGAATCCATCACGGTAGGAAACATTTGCAAATTTTCTCATTGTTGCTAACACCACTCACTGGCTGTCAGCAACATTTTCAGCCCTGTGCCAAATATTTCTTCGAAGCAGCATTAGATAATAAAATGTTTTTAAAAGTGTCAGCAGTTATTGGATTATATATATGCAGGGTCCTATCATTCCAAACAAAACCTTAGCTGAAAAAGATTGTAAAATATCCCCCTAGAAGAAAGGCTTCAGTACAAAGACATTAATGGAGTATTTTTTCTGGTAAGATTTCAAAACAACATTAATAACTCCAACATGCTATTTAAAGCAGCAGCTCCAGGATACTGGGCCTAATGCATCTCTAATATTAAACAACATTGAGTCTGTTTATGGTTATTCAAAATACCTAAAAATTATTTCAACACAGTGGGTTACTTAGCAATGTCTTATCCACAGTTTCACTATAGACAATTAAACCAAAATTAAACACTAGTTGGTTGTTTTTCCTTACTTGTAGCGTGATCACTCATCTCCCCCAGTCCAGTATTAATTCCAGCATCTATTGAACTCATGATTTTATCAATCTACAAAAGAGAGAACAGTGAAAACAACTGATGGATCCCATCTTCATTATTTTATTTTAGTTTTCATGCATAAATTTATGGCATTGTTACTCTCATTCAGAAAACAAGAATCAAAATTGCAAAAAGCAAAAATCAAAGGTAGAAAATTAATTTGATTTTTATTTTGCAATATTTTTATGCTAGCAAAAGCTAAAGCTTGGGACTACTATTTCTTTTTCTACAGTAGAGTTCCTTTTATACTGATGGCATCAGGTATTATTACTAGCGGTCTATTTAAGCAGTAATATTAATGAACAAAAATATTTTTGTGTGCTCTTAAGTATTAAAGCAACTGTTCAATTAAGATGTCCAGAGAATTTCCTAGCTCCCTTTTTTCCATCTGCCCCAAGGCTACTGAGTAGGTATGAAACATTGCTGTGTTTCCACAAATTGAAGAACGATGTTCTCTGTGAAACTACACTGCATTGATCCCAAAACTTATTTACATGTTTCTAAAGCCCATTTCACTTATCATGTCAAAACCATTATACCTATTTTATTTTCTGTAAGAACGGGACAAAACAAAAAGTGAATCAAAAGGATGGTGTGGACTAAGAAGGCAGACACAGAGAAGCACATTTTACTAAGCTTAATATTAGGACTAGTAGAAAGGGTATGTATTAGTCACTGGTGACAGAAGAAAATCTGGGACTTATGACAGAATCTGCAGATTGGGAATTCATACGTTTTTTTAATCTTAAGAACAATCAAACCTTGATGACCCCCCAGAAAGGCAAACTTGGAACTGACTCTAATCAGTATTTTATAATAATGTAACCAAGTTATAAAGATTGAAACCTGATCCTTAGTACATTTCCACTGCGAAACTCTCTCATTTAAAACAGAAACTTCCTTTAGATGCCCTATCAAATTGGACATCTAGATGAGCTGAAAACCTTTTTCTAGAAAAATAACCAATCAACCTCTGGGTTCTTTCTGAATAAAAAAGCACTCTGGAAATAGATACTTTTCCCCTTTGTAGTAATTTTAAAGAGAAATACTCACTTCTCTGTAGGAGCAAGAAAGAGCTAAACATTTCACCCTCTTAATTTACCCCAATGAGACGGGAACTTCTGTGTTTATGAAGAACCTTTTATATTCTTGAAATTCAGCACAGGAGAAAAAAAACTAAACATAAGGTGCCTAAGAATTATTTTAAATTGAGTTCTAAACCTAAAATAAAGTCTCTTCTATGAGCATTACAACCTTGTGCATTACAAATTCAGTGTGGACATTTCTGTTCATACTCCTGAATTTATTGCAGTTGTAAGTATATTCCCACTTCACACAAGCCAGGTATGTGCCAAGCATTTTGTACACAGGCTACATACCAGTTAGAGGATATGATACATGGGGAGGGTTTGTAGAATGCAACTCTCTATTCCTGCCATTTTTTCCTCTCTCTTGCTGGAGACACTGCCACGGTGGGAAATAATTAGCAAATACGTAAATAATGGGCACAGTTACAAAGGATTTTAGCAATTTCATTAGTGTCAGTGGTGAGGGCTTTAGCAGACAATGATTTCAATGCCACAACAAATTGCAGAATTACTTCTGTTTAACTTCATTCACTGCGGAAACAATAGACTTTATTGAGTGGGCAGCATTGGAACAGAAATGCTTTACATTTTGTGCCAGCTGTTGAACTACCCTGCATTACACTGTGACATTCCCTCTGAGGATTTGCAGTGTGAAAGATTCACTTTTTATTTCATCTCTGAAACTGAAAACAGTAACAGCATCTTCATAAGACCATATATTTTCTAGTACTTAAAAAAGAACAAAACTTACTTCTTCCCATTCTGATGTGAAAGAAGGTGTTCTCTCTGAATTCCCTTTGGAGCACTGTTGATTTGGTGTGGGTTCACTCCAATTGCTTCTTGCTTTTTTGTCATTTGGTGGATGGGTGATAAGATTAGAATCAGATTTCGAAACATTTTTGCACAAATGCATTTCAAGCAAAGTCTTCGGTAAAGATCGTATTCTCCCAAGCGTGCATGCTCGCTCCACAAATCCTCCAGTGGTAATAACCCATTGTTCACTTATCCTTGGAGCACCAACCAGCGTATGATTTTCTACTGGTTTATTTTTAGTATGAAATATGGTTCTGTTTACAATTGGTGGTTTTTTTTTCTTAACAGGTGGATCAGAGCTGCTTTCTTTCCGTAGCTGTATCTGCTGCACTGTGCTCTTGCTCAAAATGCTTTTCTCTAGTGGACCACTGCACGGGTTTACTTTACTGTACAGCTGGAGTGGATTTTCAGGTGGGTCACATGCAGGTGATGATCCATGAAGTAAACCTGCAAACTGCTCAGCGGGGTGTCCTTCTGGAAACTCACTTTCAGTGGATGTTTCACCCTGGCAAAGTTGCTCTGAAATGAGAGAGAATATTGTAAAAAGAACCAGATGATAAAATACTGCAAACCACGAAACTTTTACTCTCCCTAAAATTACTTTTGTATGCTGCTTGGTTCTTACGTAAAGAAACAAAAGATAAATATGAAATGAACTTATTTATTATTTTCTTTAAAAAAAAAAAAAAAAAAAATCTCTCCTTAAACTTGACTATTTTACCCTGACTGGTGGAAGAACAACCAACAGTGCTCAGTGCTACATATAGATTCCATGAAAAAACAAATTTATAAAATAGGCCATTAATATTCCATCAACATAATGGTGTCTCTTTTAATTTGTTATTGAGTTGAAATATGTACAAATACAGTTATTATATACAGTTTCATCTGATGAATTAGGCAGTTGGTTTGTAGGTGGTAAAATACATGAAGAACCAGTATTGTCAGGAGTATTCTTAGTAAATTTTTATTTTATAGTCATTATAATAATAGTGAATTTACACTATGATGCCTTTTTACTGACAGTCTCTAAATAATAGATCTGAGCATTGCTTTTATTTCTAGGAACTTCTGAGCACAGTAATCATTGGGAAAAAAAGAATACAAACCCAAGTATTTTGAAACAAGATTTATATGCAATTTAGAAGATATAGACACAGAAAGGAACTACAGAAACTTTTTGCACACTTCAATTATTAAAAGTTTAGAGCTCTTTTTTATGCCTGTTGCTGTAAGGAGTAGGAGGCTAAAAAAAAAGAGGCTTTTTCTACCTGTGTTGTTTCATAGAAAATGTTGGTGTGGTTAACATCACTTTATCCACATAGCATTAAGTTAGTATATTTACTCAGAATAACTGTGTCCCTGCTAATGGTCACATTGCTATAACTACTTCATTAAAGATAAATACATTCATCTCATTCTCGCTAGAAGTTGTATGTTCATATATAGACTCCAAGTGCAGGACTATATGCACAGCAGTAGCTACCAGAAAAAATGAAACAGATCATGTCATAATTTGCAAAGAAATTGAGCAGTTTCTCTCCTATTAGCTAAAATATCTGCTTGCAATAAAACCCACAACCAAATCTCAAAATATCACTTCTAAAAGAAAACAGTGTTCTATTTTCTTCAGTGTTTTGTTTTTCTTCAGTGTCTTGTTTCTTCAAAACATCATCAGATCTTTTACTAGTCAGCAGCATAAAAAAATAAAATTAAATGTTTTTCTTATTTGTTAAATATCATAATAAAATTCTAATCAACCTTAAGAGTGCCACCTAAGAAAATATACTTTTCTTCTTTGGGAAACAACTGACTAGAATACACACTTCAGACATTTTGCAATTAAAAATATGTGAGCCGGTATGGAGAAAGGTTAAATGTAGGACATGACAGAGCTTAAGGGATCAATAAACACAGAAAAGGTTGGTCTAGGGGAAAAAAGCAGGAGAAAAGGAGGACATGGGGCATTCTCACTTTCTTTGATTTCTGAAAGTTGCTGAATTATACGCGTGTCTGCAATTTTGAAGGTGAATTTAAAATGAGAAATAAAGGATGGAAATAATTATTGGCTTTGGTGGTTTTCCTTTTCATGAAAAACCCAGTAGATGAGATTCCACTCCAGATTAAGACATCTCATTTTACATATCCACATGGGTAAGAAATATGTAAGTTTCCACCACAATCAGATAGATAAAATCGGGGGACTGCATCACTCCTTGCACTCTTAACTGTGTTGACTAGACTAACAATGACTACTATTATGACTATTATTGTTTTGTGCACAGATACCTACATTTAGATATCTCAGTCATGAGCTGAATCCTATTCGATGTTCCAGGCATACCTCTTATAGCTGTGCATTGAACTCATTTAAGAGGTAAATGTTTTTGTCAGGGCAAAGTAAATGAGGAAGAATAAATCAAGAAAGAAAAGCTTACAGACACATGGATTGCAAAAATTTCACTAATGTCTACATTAATTTCACTAATATCTTTGCTACATCTATACTACTAAATAATACTGGCCAACAGCTATTAGGATCTAAAGGAATTACTAGACTCGTGCCCTTTAGCTTAAACTCTTCTCAAGACAGAGCTGGCCCATCCAAATAATTACTGGGAATGGTCTCTGGCCTCAGCTAAAACTTGCACTATGTTTGAATAGTGTCTAGGTGGGTACTCAGTATTGGCCAAACCTTGTAAAAACCCAAACAACAATTTAACAGTACAGACTGCCAAGAACTGATGTCATCTCATGCCCTGATTTTGTTCAATTTCCTCTGTTGCTGTGGTCATTCCTCTGTGGTCAGTAAGTATATGTACTGACCACTGGAAAGTGCGTGTATGTATGTCTTACTTTCTAGTAGTGGTGCAGTGACAGCATATCAAAACATTACTTCTGGTTGTTTTGTTAGTCAAAGTGGCAGCAGTTTAAAACGTATTCAAAGACTTCAACTGTATTGTATGAGCCTTTTTCAGCTTGATCTTTCACTACAGTTACTGCATCGTGTACAGGTAAGTATATACATAATCTAATCTAGGAATAGCTTTCACCTTTAAAATACACTTGCAAATACTTTAGGGAAGTCAGGAAAGATTAAAGCAAAGGTTGCCTGTGCAACCATTAATCTTCTCATGTGTTAGCAAACACTGTATTTCACTATTTATATGATCACTATTAGCTTTCAAAAACACCCTGTTCAGAATGAAGTTTGCTTACTGAAGAAGCTCCTCAACATTTTCCTAGTATCATAGAACTGTTTAGGTTGGAAAAGACCTTTAAGATCATCAAGTCCATGTTACCCTGCCACTGCTAAGTCCACCACTAAACCAAGTCATAGAATCATAAAATCAACTGTGTTGGAAAAGACCTCCGAGATAAACTCCAACCCTTGATCCAACACTGCTGTGGTTATCAGAACATGGCACTAAGGGCCACATCCAGTATCATCTTAAAAACCTCCAGAAACAATGAATCCACCACCTCCCTGGGCAGCCCATTCCAATGCCTGATTACTCTCTCTGTAAAAAATATCTTCCTAATATCCAACCTAAACCTCCCCTGGCACAGCTCAAGACTGAGCCCTCTTGTCCTACTGCTGGTTGTCTGGGAGAAGAGACCAACCCCCACCTGGCTAAAACCTCCTTTCAGGTAGTTGTAGAGAGTGATGAGGTCTCCCTTGAGCCTTCTCTTCTCCAGGCTAAACAACCCCAGCTCCCTCAGCCTCTCCTCATAGGACTTGTGCACAAATCCCTTCCTCAGCCTCACTGCTATTCTTTGGACCTGCTCCAGCACCTCAATATCCTTCCTGAACTGAGGGGTCCAGAATTGGAAACAAAGTCCCTATGTTTCACATCTTCACATCTTTTAAATACCCCCAAGGATTTATATTCTCTTTGCTAAAAAAGAGTGGTCCTCATACCTATTTACTGCACACCCTTTAAATTCTTCTTTGTATATCAAGTTATTTAATAGCACTTCAAATTTTTTACAATGTGGATTATCTAAGGGGCTCACAAACATGAACTTTTTAGGATATCTTTTTAGGGTGAGGCTATAATGTGATAATATACTAATTTAATAAATGGGAGATAAGGCACAAGGATATAATGATGAAAACATCCAGAAGTTTGGGCATCCAATTTGAAATCCTTCAAGACTTTCAGAGTAATTAACACTGTGTAACAGAACATTTTCAAAGCACAGTTGCTATTGACTTCAGTAGCTCAAACAACTCAGACCCCTAGTGTGTCAAATTCAGCACTCAAAAAACCAAGGAACACTGTTAATGACTATTTGGATAAACTTTGGTCTGTCTTGATCAGTGTAACAAAAGCTCTGGCAGAATATTCTCCCTGTGGTGTTCAGCTGCCTCAGCCGTTAATTCTTCTCTCTGGAAACTTTTGCTTTCAGTAAGAGCTTTCTTAATTATGAGATAAAGTAAGTGAAGATCTCATAGCTATGCCTTCTTCATCCCATGAGTCTGAGCAATGCAAACAACATCTATATCAAGCAATGAAAAAGACTGGGATCATCAGGAAAAAAAAAAATCATGTGGTCATGACAAAGGTTAAGAAGCAAGCAGCACTGCATGGTGCACTGCAACCCTAGAACAGGTTATCCAGAGTGGTGGCATCTCCACCCCTGGAAGGTTTCAAGACCTGTCTAGGAAAGACATGTCTGATCTCATGAGGACAGTCCTGCTCAAAACAGGAGGATGGACCGGATTTATCTCTGGATGTCACTTCCAATCAACACTTCCATGGTGCAATTACAATTCTGAATCTTTTGACTTTTGAATTAACAACTGTTAAATCTAGTGCTTTTTAAATACAGACTCATATTATTATTTTAGCTTCCTGATGCAGTTAATGCTTAATATTTTTATGTTCAGGAAATAAGGAAATATTTTTTCTTAGAGATAGCAATACCATTGCTCTAAATGGTACAGCAAGTCTGCAGATGACATAAAACTGGGAGGAGCTGTTGACTCCCTCAAAGGCAGGGAGGTCCTGCAAAGAGACCTTGACAAATCAAAGGACTGAGAAATCACCAACTATATGAAGTTCAACAAGGGGAAGTGCCAGATTCTGTACCTGGGATGAGGTAACCCTGGATGTACGTATAGACAGGGGAATGGGGTGCTGGAAAGCAGTGCCACGGAAAGGGACATGGAGGTCCTGATCGACAGCAAGTTGAATCTGACTCAGCAGTGCCCTGACAGCCAGGAGGGCCAACCATGTCCTGGGGGGCATCAAGCAAAGCATCACCAGTCAGTCAACAGAGGGGATTGTCTCACTCTGCTCTGCACTGGGGCAGCCTCACCTTGAATATTGTGTGCAGTTTTAGGCACTGTGATATAGGAAAGATATTAAGCTCTTAGAGAGCTGAGGTCACTTGGTCTATTCAGCCTGGAGGAAATTTAGGGGGACCTGCAGTTACAGCTTCCTCATGAGAGGAAGAAGAGGGACAGGCACTGGTCTCTTCTCTGAGGTGACCAGTGACAGGACCAAGGGAAT